GCCTGAAGGTTTTACTAGGTAATTTATTTAGAAAGCACCATGCAGCTCAGCAGAGATCAGTCCTCAAGCACTTCCCACGACTTGCAGAGCTTGTGGTCATGTTCAGAATTAGCACTGCCTACATTGAGGGAGTTCATTACAGACGGGAGCCTTAGGTCCTTTATAGGCTCTGTAACCATGTTCAAAATGCATACAGCTACAGCTGCTTACGTTTCGTTCTGATTATTTGTCACAGAGAAGCATTTCTCAGTGAGACACTGTTAAGGTCAGTGCCCTATGCCATGTCTTGCTAGTACCACGCTCCACATTTCACAAGTCTCTACCTTATCTGACAAATAGTTAGGGAGAGACTGGGCCTCTCTGTCTCTGCAGTTTTACCATTTTGGCTTCATTTAGCCCTGTATGGATCTTCATGCCCCCAGGACAAGCAGCCAATATGGACTTCACTGGCCAATGTAATGGTGATATAATACGTACCTCACCTATGGGATCCCCTCACGGTGACAGGGTTGCAAGCAGGCATTGGTCAGGATGTCATGACCATCCTTCCTTTCCATACAGTGAAAAGGGAAGGAGGATGCAAGATTGCAGTACAGAGAAGGAAGCTGTTTGCAGCTTTCTTTGTTATACCCGGACTTAAGGTGGGGGAATTTAGGAGAAAGGTTAAATCTAAACTAGCTATATGAAGATCACGGCAAAGTGAAAACCGATGACAGATCACAGCTTCTAAGCATAAAGATATTGTTCTAAAGTGGCATTGCGTTACTCAAGAAAATAATTTTCATTATAGCATTGCTAGAACTGGGAGGACATATAGTAGGCCTGATCTAATGATACTTTGGAGATGATTTTGCAAGGATATACTAATACAACATAACACTTTGAATCGAGAGTCTCAAGATCAAGACTCTTGCTTCTCTTACCAGCCTCTTTTTTGTGTTTTGGCAACCTTTTTTTTTTCCTGAGAGCGAAGTACAGATTGAAAAAAAGGTCACAGCCTAAAATAAGTTGAGAATATTTGTCCATCGTAGGCTTGGTTCTAGATGAAACATGACATTGTACATAGAAATAAAGGTTCAGTTTAAATGCATTTTGTTAAGCAAGTGTAAAGATTAAACTCAATGCAACACTTCGGCCATGTTGATGCTGAAATATGCTCTGTCATTTGCCATTCTTCATGCTTCCTGCCAGATTTTCAGCTACTCGATAGCATGTGCATTTCTATCATTCTCTCAAATAGCAATTGATTATGCCAGCCTCATGCTATATTCCTTGGAAAGGAAAACTCTAAAGCTTGTTTAACAGTAAGTGTCTGCAGCTTTTTCTCAACAAAACTGGCTGAGAGAGAGAAAAAAAACATCTTTTGTTAAAAATAATGGTTTGCTTAAAAACACCTAGCTCCTTTTGTGCTAAAGTTTCACACACAGCAGGAGACTATCTCAGTGTTTCAGTAATAAAAAGTCTCTGCTGTCAGGGTCAGAGGTGTTTCTTAACAACATACCATGGTTCTTGGCAACACTTACAGCCCTGATATCATACAAGATATTAGATATCCCATATTCCCAGTATGCTGCAGTTTGTGTTTTGTTTTTGTTTTTTTTTATGAGAACATGAATGAAAAAGTAGTATAGCAAATGTGAATTTACCAATAAAACTACACTCAGAATACTTAAATATCTTGTTATCTTCACCATTTAAAGATACAGTTCTCTGTTCTCTATAAGAAGATCGTATTCTGTGAGGTAAAGTCTATTCTACACTATCACAACAGAAAACTATGAAACATCTCCTCTCAAACACAAAACAGGGAAAAAGCATAGGTTCAGGATCTTCTGGTGCAAAAATAAGACTTCTAATCGTTCTGTGTAGTATTTAATAGAAAGAGGGGAAGTTTTAATGTAGCTGATGAATTCCAACTTTATTGTTACGATTCTTTAATATTCCATTGCAAAAAAATATTAACTTGTCTCACTTGTTCCTGCATTTGCTTATTATTTTTTATTTACCTCGTCCACAGCTCCTCTAGGCCAAAATCACCTCTAGTGCACCTCTCTTGCAGTCAGGCTATCAAGTAATGCCTTCTTTGAAGCACTAATGATTATGGAAACCATGGTTGCCTCTTTCTCACCCTTTGCTGTGGAAAATTAGTTGTGATGTCCAGGGCAAGTGAAGAGAGTCCACAAAGGTGGTATTCTGAATAGGAGATGGGTTGGCTTTGCTGTCGAAGAAGGAAGAATATTCTGGCCTATTTTCTCCCTTTCATGGGCAAAACTGGAAAGCCTTTGAGGTTCCCTACGAAGCAGGAAAGTTTGGAGAAGAACTTAATTTTGTCAACTACTCTTGCAAAGCAATTAAGGAATCAGAATTAAAAACACTAATGTCTGGCTGCGAGCATTCACAGGCTAGTCACAATGACATCTGTGTTATTTCTTCTTTCTGTAGTTGACACAGCCCGGTTTCGATTTCTGTACTGTGCAACATTATCGATATATTCACTTGCAATGTTGTTATTACACTAGGCTGCTTCTACTCTTCACCCCTCACTCTCTAAAGAGGCTGCTGGTGACCTTGAGCAGGTAAGAGAAGACAGATTTCCAGAGAATGAGTTGCCAAATGGGCAGCTATTTAAAAGGTTCAGGAGGTCAAGGATAAATGCGTTAGCAGGAATTATACGAGAAATTCAAGACTGATGGGGAGTGGATTTTCTCTCCTTTCTTAAGATACATGATTTAGTTCTACTAAACCTGAACTTAAATCATTATCGTTGTGAAACCTGGCCTGGATACCAGCTCCACTTCTGCAAAGCGTAAATCAGTAAGATAACTGCTAAGTACAAGTATTACAAGTAGCACCTAGGGATCCTAGCTGAAAATGAAGCCCCCTGTGTTGGAGCTTTATAGGAATAAAATAAACAGCCAATCCTTGTTCCTAAGAAGATGAATAGAGAAGGTGGACAAAACGTAAGAGGGTAAACAGCGACACAGAGAAAATAAGCAATTTACTGAAAGGATTTCTTACTTAGCAAATCAATGTCAGACGCCAAAGAAGATCTATAGCTTCAAATTGCTCCTCCCCAGCCCAGTGTCTGGTATGCTAAACTCCCAAGAACAGCTGAGCACTCACAACTGCTTTTAAGCACAGAGAAGTACTTACCATTATGCAGCTGCCCTTATTCAAGAAGAGGATAAGCTTTGTAGTCTGAATGTGTAGCTGTCCGGGTGAACAGTTCAGTCACTTTTAGCAATCTGACTTTCTATGTTGGTAAAGGATTGGGACAAGTGCCAGATTTTCAGAAAAGAGGCACAAGAGTGCCCCTTAAAATACATAGGTACACAACACGTTTTTCACATTTGAGTAGGGGGCGCTTTAGCAAGGACACAGTGAGGAGGATGCTAGATGTGAATAGAGATGCCTGGGCCACTCTGCCAGCTGTTGTGGCTAGTGCTAAGAGAAAGACTTGCAGGTCTAGCACAGTGGCAGTGGGTGGAAGGGTCCTTCGGGGAAGTGAAAATATACACTATAAGTGTGTTAACCCAAAAGGATGCAGGAAGTGTGTTCTTTGCAATGATTTAAACTAGCAGCTCAAGAAGCAGAAATGCTGACTTGCTTCTCTCCTGTTGTTTCTCTCCTAGCAACAGGAGAAATGTTTTTAAACCAGTATGACTGACAGATATTCATGGGAAAAATAAACACATGTTTTATGAAGCTAGTTTAAGGTGACCCTTACAGGGGGATCTTTGCTCTGTCAGATTTCAAGGCTGCACTGCAGAACTTAATGGGAATCGGTTCCAATTAATCACATGACGAGACAAGGGTTTCAGAAAACACGCACTATATTTATAACCACATTTTTCAGAATCTGTAACTGTTTAAAAATTTAGGTGTTCGGAAGGAGTGTAAATTCTCATGCAGCACAGGAGGTTCCAACCACTATCTGACAGGAATTAGGAAGAAAATTTCTCCACGCATGGATTATTTAATATTAATCACCTACTCATCTTTGCAGTGGAGCCTTTCACGTAGGTAACATATTAAAACAAGATGGACCGACCATTGGTCTGATCCAGTGTGAAAGTTCTTACGTGCTGCTGCTTAAGATTTTCCCCAAAGCACTGAATTTTATTTTACCTGATACTAGTTCATACAGAAGTGAAGTAAAAAAAGGGGAGGGGGGAGGAGAAAGAGCAGGGGATGATAGTCTTTGTCAGACTGGTGTGTGTGTGGGTGGGAAGGTGGGTGTATGCCTGTAATAGGGCTTCCAAAAATGAGGTCTATGATGTTACAAATTTTCAGTCATTTTGTGTCATAAATAAAAGGATGGAGGAATCCTTCGATTTCCTACAGGAAGGCGTTCCTTTGTACTGTGGCTGACACTGCTGAGCTCATAGTTTTCTACATAGCTGCTGAAGATGGAGACTGAAGGTAATGAGAAGAACTTCAAGGGCACTGTGCTTTATATCTAAGTTTTAAAGAGAAAGGGTTACCCCCACTGTGTCCTTTTCAACTATTATTTCTTTTTTTCTTTTTCGCAAGTTAAGAAAATATTTTGAAAAGTCTACCTGAACGCACCTGAAACGACACCTGTGAAGAAGACATTTGTGAAAAGCAATTTATATATAACACATTGCTTAAATCAAAATGTTGGCTGAGGTTTACATTCATTACTAAAATGAATGCCTTGAAACAGTTCTGTTACTTCATGCAGGAAGCCTATGGAAAAATCAGAAATTCATTGGTTTCTCCTTTGTAGGCACCTTTTTATCTTCTCTGTATGTGTCCTCCCTCTTTTCATGAATCTTGCCTCAGGCACTCCTTCTGGGCTTCTATTTTTTCTCTTCTATCTCTTTCCTCCCCCCAACTACTAGCTCTTCTTTTCCAGCTCTAGCTCAGTAACCTTGGGTTTGCATTAATTTTCCTTTCCAAAAAACATTCAGGACTATCAACATTATCGTTAATGATATATTTTATCATTTTATTAACAATCTTTCACTACGCATCTGCTGTACTGCTGAAGTCGATTAGGAAAATAAGTACCTTCCTGTGCATGAGCAGCAAATTGGCTTACCTCCAGAAACAGGTGTTCCCCAGGAAGCGTTTCCCCTAAAATACAGCTTAAAGCATTTTTGAATACTACTGATCCTATTTACTGGGTCCTTCATTGCCTTCACAGCGTTCATTTCCTATACCAAATGCTCCCATAAGTGATGAATCGGTGGAGCCAGCAGTTCCTGTGAAAAGATTTGCACTTGTTTACTGGAGGGGAGCCCACATCATCTGTTATCCACAGACTCTCCTCAAGGGTCATCATTAGCTATAAGTCAATAGAAAATAAAGAGCCCATTACTTCCTATACCCCACACTCCAGCCACGCATAAGTGAGCTCTTGAAGTCTTTCCAGAGACTTAGGAACCTTCCAAAGCAGTGACCCAGCAACTGCCTGGGCCCTGAGGACACCCCCAGCCATCCATGCCCGTGCCCAACCCCGGGGGCCTCCCTCACGCTCCCCCAGGCATGGGCCCCCATTTCAGCCCAACCCCAGGGCCATCAGTCCCTGCCCCATGATGCCGCAGCAGTGCCAGGCTCCAGCCCCGCCAAGGCCCTGCCCCTGCCCACCACGGACCCTCCAACTCCAACCCACGGGCAACCACCTAGCCTATCCCCGCAGTGGTGCCTAACGCCTTGGGCTGCTCCAGCTGCTCTGCTCCCTTGCAGGGTGGTGGGACAGGCCCTGGCGGTGAGGCCTGGCCGTGCTGCCGTCGGGAGCTCTTGTCAGCATGAGCCCCTGGGAGCCTCTGGTCATGACCACCATAAAATCTATGCATGCCAGACACGCTGAAATGGCTGAAAACGCTCATTAACATTGATGGGCTAAAGAAAAATTTCCAATGCCAGGCATGGAAAGTAGGACGTTCTCCTACCAAACAGGACTGACCTATTAAGTGAAGCACCTACCCCAGCTGCGGGCAGAAATAAATACAGATCTTTGGGAAGAAATAAAAGGGAAAAGTTGAACAGGATTTCAACAGCGTGAAGGAATTGCAGCCATCAGCTCTTCAGCTAGCAAGTTCATTTTCCAGCTCCAGTTCAGTTCAAAAATTTTAATTCTTGACTGCACTTGGTGCAGGCTTCATGAAGCCGCTCCCCGTGAAGTCTGCACTTCTGAGCTGCACAGGCAGCAGGACTCATCCCAGGAAAGTGTCTGAAAAAGCCCTCTCAAGTGCTACAGAATAAGATGAGGCTCAATTCAGGGTTTGTACAATTGCAACTATCCAAATATCATTTGCTACTTATGTTCCACGACCTGGATCGCTGTCAGTCTTGCTTCATCCAGCAGTTTCTATACCAGTGGGAACACGCCGCCTGTCCAGGAGAGGGAAAGCAAACATCCACGGCACCAGCCAACTCCCTGAGACTGAGCCCCCTCCTTGGCCAGCCATCTCCCGTCCAGTGTCGAGGTCCCTCAACAGTGCAGAATTTGACCAACAACCAACACGAGCTATTTCTGCGGGAGTTCCCAGGCTCTGCTCGTAACTGGATGAAAACTGAGAGAGCAGCACGTTCCTACATTGGCTGGAGATCTCTTCCCCAGACCACCTGTCTTCCACTTTCTTTTCGGCGACTCTTCCCAAGAGAGCGGAGTGGTAGGGTCGTTGATCACCGTGCTGCCCATCCACTACATTTCCAGACTCTCTGAGCTTCTTTCCAGTCCAGCTCCTGCTGCTCTGCTAACAGAAGTCATTTTCCGTCAGTGTTACACGGTGCATTGCGAAAGGTGAGTCTTTCATGTCCCCACCAGTGCCACCCCCCGCAGCTCCCCGTTGAGAGTGGGCCCTCCTCCCCAGGCAGCCCCCTGCCCCTGGCCGTGGAGAGCCCACATCAATCAAAGTGGCGGCAGGCAAGTACTTACCACCTCTGAATCAAACACTTTCCACTGTTACTTTCAAGTTTTACTAATGTTTATTAATTCCTGTTGATATCTTGCCAAATGCATTCTCTGGAGAATCACAAAATAATTAGAAGGTGTCCTCTCTCTCTCTGATTCCCTCCCCCTCCCTGCCCCCCGCTGAATGCTGCACGAACTCAATATTAAGGGAAAGTGTAATTCATTATCCACAAGCAGTTCACCACCCAAATACCCTGCCACCTGCACACGTCTATTTTCAGAAGCCTACTGAAGTACTCTGCCTCATAAAGTTATTCCCTTTAGAAGCGTGACAACAAAAAATTGCTCTGGAAACCTGAGGGTAAACGATGACTAACCCCTAACTCCAGCACTGGGGAAGGTGATAGGTCTGCATTTAATTTTATCTACTGGCTACAGCACAGCAAGGGAAGAGTTTACTCCCTTTAGTCTGGAGTCGCCACTATAACAGTAATAGCAGCAGCACTTAGGCAGCTCTTTCAATTTCTTAAGCACTTTGCATCCATTAACACTTTAATGCCTGTAATTCCACAAACAAGGGTAATAAAACGAAGAAAACTGAAGCAGCTTGCCACTGAGGACTCACCAAAGCCACAGTTATAATTCAGGAGCTCAAAATCTGTCCACACTTCTGTCTCCACAGTCTGGCAGTTCCTCAGATCATATTGCACTTGTTGTGTTTTTCCTACCATGTATAGATAACCCCTCATCTGCAAGTAAAAAAGTTAACTGGGTTATAACACGCAATCCAAATTGAAAAAAAAAACAACAAAAAATGCAAGAATGCAAGAAAACCTACACATGAATATAAAGAACAAAGTTAAGAATCTGCCCTATGGTCTGTAATTAGCTGTCAAAACGGACAGGTGTCTACTACTGTGTTATACAGACATTTTAAATATGGACTCTGCAGATAGGGGCTGGAATATACGTCACAAGGAGGCCATCACAATGGCCTTACTTTACATTTCTATTTGACCACTACCCAAAGGCATCCTCTACCTGTTCATAAAGACCTACCTATTCATTCAGACTTGAGTATAGAAAACATTTTCCATTCTCAGTGCTATAGATATCTTAACAGGAAACCCTCATGATTTTATTCTAACCCTAAAGGGGTAGGAGGACTGGATGTATAGCTCAGAGTCAAGATTGCTGGTGAAGAAGGTAACGTCTCCTGTCTTCTCATATGATGTCAGAGAATGACCTACCAGTTCTGCCTGGCTCAACTTACATGTCAAAAGGGTCATCCCCGTAGATCTGTCCTGATCAAAGTGGATTGCATCTCTCTGCTTATTGCCTTTTACTAATCTATTATTCAAGTCTACCTGGTGAAACTGAGTGGCAGAGTGATAGCTGTATCAGGATAACTACCTCCGTGTACAGTCTACTCCAGAAAAACTAAAATAGTTTTCCAGAGCATTATGTCTCTGCTTCCAATAGGTATTCCAATAGGTAGGGCAACAGGTATTCTGAAATACAGTGACTTTTATTCTACTGTGGATGATTTCCATAGATAAGTATTCCAGGACAACTATAAAGAATAGTTTATTCCTATACAGGTAAATAAGTCTTAAGCTTCCTGTAAATTTATCACACAGTTCTACAAACAGAAAGCAAGCTTATGGTATTGCCAATAAGCCTTTCATATCACCTCTTCGACACAAAACCAACATTTTCTGATGCTGTCCACAAAACACAGGTAGAGATGTGAAACAGCAATAGAGCATGACCAGTTTATTCTGTTTTGCAGCTCACTGTTAAACCTTTATGTGCTGACAGTAAACTCTGCTGCACGCTCTGTGGATAATAACAAGAGGCAAAAACAGGATTCTGCTACTGCTGGAGAAATGATGACTTTCAACAGTGAGACAGAGCAGGGGACGTAGAAACACAGAGAAAATGGTTTCTCCCAAATTAACAATGCTTTCCTTAATACTACAACAACACAGTTTCAGTTACTCTGGAACTTCATTTCTAAAACAATGAGTTTCTTTCTTACTCATTCTCTAGGAAATGCAGAGCACTTGTTTTGTTAGTAAAGCAAATTCATGAATTTTGGTCAAGTTATTTAGTACATTATTTTTAATTCATCTGGCCTCAGCCAGATCAGGAAAGTCTGGCAATAACCTCTGGCATGACAAGGACACAGTTGCATCCCATGTGTTTACTATCATTCTAGGATAGAGCTATGTAACCTTTTTGGGTATTCCATGCTCCACATTGTATATGGAGTAAGCTCTATTGCAGGTCCATAGAATAAGTGATTCCAAAAGCCAGAAAACAAAAACCTCTTACTATTCCTTGCAACCACAAAGCTGTTATCCGTGAAGATTTGCTCATTTACTTTTATATTAAGGGCCAGTTTGTGTTCTGAAGGTTTAAGGGATAGACAGAAATGGCTGGAAAGGTAAACTGAGGCATTGGAGAAGGACTATCTTTTGTTGAAAGTCTCACAGCAATTCAAAAGCCTTGCTAATAATGTAAGCATGTCCTGATTCACTACCTGTGTCCTGCTAGCTAGGCCGCACTGTCTCCAAAAGAGATGCTTATTGTTATGAACCCCAAAGAAGAGCTACCATTCCTTCATACTGTACAGTTAAAATAATTGGCAAGCTGCTCTGAGGAGTGAATACAGCAAGGAAAGGCAACGCTCAATCCCCTATCCTTATCTTCCCGTTTGGAATATCTGTGGAGGCTACGCTTCCTACCAGCTCCAAAATCCAGACAGGACTGATGAGAGGAAAATCAAAGGCCCTTGTGTTTCTCTCAATTTGTTCCAGTACCCATACTAAAAGACTCACCTGAAGCAAATGAAGATATACACAGATGAGGCTAGGGTACAGAATTGTACCCAATGAACTGTATGGCCTTCCTTTCCATTTAGCACTGATTTTTGATCAGTGTTATGGTCTGCTCTTGGGTGATTAATGAAAGCTTTGAGCTTGTATAATAATTTGGCAGCATTCTCTAGGTGACAGAGTGTCTCATTTATTGATTCATTTAATTTCTCTCTGGGCATTTCCTGAATATGTATCCTCAGCGGATCTGAGCAGGCTAATGGTATCTTTCCATGTCATTGGTCAAAATGGCTAAGAAATGCTTAGCTTCTTCATTATACCTTTCTCCTGATGAGGAGCTGTTTCTTTTATGCAAAATGTTAATGCATCATTACTTTATAATTGAAATATGTATGTCGGTGAGGTTTTCTTCTTTCAGCCAGCTATTTAAAATAGCTAGCAATATGTGATGTATACTTTTAGAGGCTGTCAGGCAATGCTATTTTTGATGATACAGTATGTCTGTTTTCCCTTACCCTGTAGGAAGACATCGATACTGGAACAAATGTATTTTCCACCCAAATGTGATGTCTTTGGGAAACATCAAGAGAAGTAACAATACATACACAGAAGAACTGCACAATTTAACAGTCTCTGTCACAGGCTTCATTCTTTAACTGAAAGAAAGAAAATCTTTCATAATTAATTTTATCAAGGAAGTTCACATCTTATTGACTCTTAATCTATTCCTGCCCTCTCCAAACTCAGTGGCAGGTTTGGTTGCTTTCAATTAGACCTCATGCACTTCTCTTATTAGTGTTGTTGCTGTTATTGGATCAGAAAGAGCAGTCTTCTAATAAGTTAGCGTTCTAATACCGGTATCAGTGTGACAACATAGCAGGGAGAAGCTATAATTTGTGAGCTGGTTTGTTGTGAGATAGCTGTAGGTGTATGGAGTAGGCGTATAATACAAGCACCAGGACTGTGTTGTGATTCATGTTATAGATCTTAATATAAACTAAGAAGGAAAACACGTTTATTAAGAACCAGTATATGCCTATCCCTTGCGGGGACATACAAGAAGTAGAGGAGGGAGAAAGCTCTTCTCATGTGGCTGGTGCAGTTCCCCTTCCCAGCCACCCAAGGAGGGCAGGGAGGCTCTGAGATATGACAGGGTGCTCTCTCTAGCTCGTGCTCTTGGTGCCAGCAACTAACATTGGGCCAAGTGTGTTCATAGGTGCCCTGACTTGGCTGTTCAGGACGGGATGCAATGGACAGCTTAAGCTCAGATTTGCACTTCACGTACAACTTGAATTGTTCTGCATTAAAAAAAAATACGAATGGGAAGATTGTTAGTAAAACAAAATAAAATCCCAGAAGGACAGTGCCACAAGCTGGATGCTAATGTCTTTTGGAACAGTAGCTGGCACAGGCTAAAGATCTCCCAGTTCCTGCAGTAAAGGGAAGGGTCAGGATCTGGCCATGACATAAAAGCCCTTCAGTGTAACGGTGTTGGTTCAAATCCAGCACAGCACATTATCCTGTGATAATGACGAGGTATATGATGACATATAGAAAGCAAGTAGGTGCTTGCAATTTGGTCACCTCCTACTGGACCGAGCATTTGCATCACAAAAAGGCCGTAGGTTGGCAAATCCAGCAAGGTTATCCCAAAGCCACGGGGCCTGCTCCCCTCCAGTCCCATCCTGAATGATCTGACAAAAACTGCCCCAATGACTGTGTCCTGGCAGACAGAGAATGAGCCTCAGGAGCAACATAGCCTATTGGAAAGCAAGTTGCTCTAATTCTGGCTGCTGAAGTTTAAATATTGCTCCTAATTAATCCCAGCTGAACCTCCACTGACTTCTCCGGAGTTAGAGCAGGAAGGAGTTTAACTCGTTGTATCCCAAAAAACAATAGCTGAACCAGAAGCCAAATGAGAATTTGTTCCTCATTGGTGGCAAGTAATGAAACAGGGCTCAGAAGAAACCTCCTGTAAGAAGTATCGGTGGTCACACATCTCCCAAAACACAAGCACTGCTCTTTCCTGGCATAGTGACCTGCTGCTAAATACTGGCTTTTCAGGCAATGAACAGCAAAATAAATCAGCAGGATATTCAAGATTCTAAATAATTATAATCTCAGGAGTCAAGATATTATAAATTTAATACTGACCCAAAGTATAACTGTAGCTCTGAAACCTTTAGACACTGCAACCCTGTAGCAGGGACTCTTATCACACAGAATATGTTCATAGTGAATTACACCTTATCTGGATCCATTTTAGATAAGAACTCATCCTAAAGGTGACAAGGCAACTAAGTACAGCCAACAGCTCTTTCTCTCCTATTCTTGGTGTTCAGCATTGACAGGTTTTCACCCAGCTGGTGGGAGAGCAGAGGACTTGACTCCAAGGCAGGAGTTACATGACTGTCTCCCAGTTCAGCAAATGAACCATCAGGTGCCTGCTCAGCTTCATTACTCTACATGTGTATCATCAAGAACCTTATTGTTATTTGTGGCATAGCAATATTCAGACCAAAGTTCCTGTATGCTGTTTAAAAACAGTGAGAGATATTGTGCCTAAATGGCCTTGGAGCTTAAAAGAAAATATTGCTAATATTTCAGTGATGCCTCCACACTCACTGGAGTCTGTTTCTGTATTACACAGGACTGTAACAGAGTTGCATCAAACTGATTTCGGGCAAGAATTGGGTGAAATGTTTTCATCCTGTCAATGTTCTTCACTTAAGATGTGGCCTGAATTGAGCTATAGATGAGAGAAAGCTCTGCTATTTGCACAGGAGTGGATATCTGCAAATTTGTGGTTGGTTGAATATGAAAGTTGCATGCACCACAAAGATATGTGTGACTGCAGATGTGAACATCCCTACAAAATTTCCAGACTCCTCCACCAACATAAAATTTCACCACAAATGAATTTTGTCACTTAAAAATTGCCAGGTTCATAATTCTTTGGAGGTATTGGTACAGACAGTCCCACAGCACTAGCTGAACTTCCTTTCTAGGAAGGTCATCCCTAACTGTTCAAAAATAGCTGAAGAGTCTTGGCCCTTGGTTTGTCTTGCAGAGCTGCAGTATAGTAAACGGTGCCAGCTGCTAGAGAGCACCATCATGCTGCTGCCAAAGCTGAAGGTGAAGAAACTGCAGTGAAGAATGACCTGCGTTTTGTATTTAATGTCCCTTTTTGGTGTCTCGGTCAGCTCCTCCTGCAAGAGCAGAGCCAGGGGCTCACAGGGGATGGGAGGAGTGTGAGAGGAGAAGATGAGCTGCAAAAGGCATGGAGGATTTTAAGTCCTGGGGCAAGGAGAAAGTTATGAAGTGCTGGGGTGGGGAATCAGGAGCCCATAGGAGAAGGGATGTTTTCACTGCAGAGAAGGGGGAAGGGCTCGTGAAAATGTTGTGAAAAAGTGAATTTTTGGGCTGCAGATTTATCCAGAGTGGCATAGATGTAGTCAATCTGTTCCACAGCTTGCAAAATATCTTCCATGTACAGCTTTTCACTCTGGGATGGGGAAAACACTTAGCTGTGTGTCATATCGCTGCAGAGGTAAACAGTCTAACAACTGATCTAATATTTGGCTTCTGCAATTCTATGCCTACCTTTTCTTTCCTTTTTTAATCTAGAGTTATTTCTACTTTTATGTATGTACAGGTTAGTTCCAAATTCTGTACATATGGTGGTTTTCTATATTATATATCTGGCACATATGGCATATGTGTACATATGGTGGTTCATAAGCTTCTTTGGCCAGTGAGCAAAACTCAGGTGTGTTTCCACTTCTAAATGATTCTGCACCCAAAATTTCTGAATGATATGCTATATGAAACAGTGTCCCTGTGCCACTTCCTATCAACATGGGCAGTAGAGGGAGCACACATGAGACGCTCAGTAAACACAGGTACATGCAGCACAGTGGATGTACTTTACACTTAGCACAATTGCTTACAAGATCCGATTCTCCAATAGGCAGCTTGCCACTTTAGCTGTTTTATTGTATTATTCCTTCACAAATGAGTTTCTCTTTTTTTCAGGGAGCTGTCACTATTAATTTCTGTAGAAGAGTGAGCTGAGTCAGTTATTAGATCATCCATTCACCCCCCTGCACCTTATGGGATTAGTCAGGAAACAGAGAGCACACATAATTGGATTTTGGGCTTTGAGTCTCTTGTGCATAGCTCAGATCACTGAAAGGACCACTGCAACTTAATTACTTCCTGAAGCCAAGAAGGCAAGTGCTGAGTAGGGAGGATCTGCATGTTCCTCAAAGTCCCCACCAGCAGTCAGCATCTACTTAGAAGTGCTTTACTGGTTCTTTTTCTGCCAGGAAGTAAGCTGCATCACATCATTATATGGGTCAAAAGACTTTTTCTTCACATTTCCAAGCCCCTTAGCATGCTAGAGTGAGTAAAAAACTTAATTTATCTCAGTAATTTAGCATTACACATTTCCACAGCTACTTGCAGCCTTCCTTGTATTTCCCCATGATGTACCTATACACGCGTATACAATTTTTTTTCAATTGTACGAAAGTAAAATTTCTATGACAGAGGCATTTGTTTTACGCAATACATTTGATGGAGCTGTTGCTCTAGAAACATTTCTAGCAGCCATTCTTAACCATGTGGCCAGTTACCTGACAAAATAGCTATTGAATTTGACCTGGCTGTGTTTGCACATTCATAGGCCATTTTCTGTGCAAGATGACCAGATCCAAACATATAACTGAGTATTAACAGATCATACACAAAGCAAGTGAAATTACCATCTCTGTATGACAAAAGCGCATACCAAAATAGCTCATCGTAAATATGCTGCTGTGGTGGGCCAAACTTTTTCTCTATATGATCCAGTTACTTCACAGGAGTTGTATCAAAGATTTCCCATTCACCTGGCATCACCAGTCCCAAAGAAAGGATTAGATTTAAAGGAAGAAGGAGTTTACAAATTCATTGCCACATCCTGAAGCATTCCGCAAAGTTAGGACGAGGTTCCATACAGGGTCCACGTAAGCTGGTGGTTTACAGGTCCCTTCTTTCTAACCCCAACTCTTCCCATGACAGAATTAATTTGAGCAGCAACTACCGGAACAAAGACACTCTCCTCTGGAAATATCATCCCCATCTTAACACCAGTCCCCTCCAGTCCTATGGAGGACTACGGGATTCAGAAATAAACCATATTCTTCACTCCTATCTTGTGCAACTATCATCTTAGCCTTAGGTCCATCAGTGAGCCTGACCCACCAGCAAATTACCACAGTCCCCTGGAACCAGTAAACCTCAACCTCCCTTCATGGGCTTCAAGGATTCAGAAGCGAATCACATCCATTATGCTCATTTTCCAGAGCTGTCACTTACCTGCAACTCTACTTTTTCCTAGCAGAGGGACTTGCATCCTATCCAAACTCCATATGTAACACTGACTTGCAGAAATCATGGCTTTACTTCTAGGCATTTACTGGATTCCAGAAGGAATTATTTTCCCACTCCCACCTTCTCTAACACTAATCTTAACCCTAACCCTTTCTCTGGCAGAGTGCCCTGGTCAGCTTACAAATCGCATACTCAACACTGACCTGCAGGAACAAGAACTTTTATCCTAAGTTTATGGGCCTTTCGGGACTGATCAGTGAATCATTACAGTGCAGTCTCTACCTCCCACAGCCTAATCATAACACTCATCCGAAGCTTTTTTGTCAGAGCGAACACAATATTAGTAATGTCAGTACTGTTTGTCTACTTTGCCAATGTTTGTCTACTCTGGGTAGGCAGTTGGGGAAGGACAGTTGCCTCCAACTTCATATTTCTTGTTCCTCCACTTCTATTTCCCGAAGTTTGTTTTAAAAATTAAATTAGTGGTCTTGAAAATGTGACAAGCTGACTGGGCAGAAGTGAAATTCTGACAGCCTCGCTTGTCTAGGCTCATCTTTACTAAAGCAGAGAAGACACATCCTTGCTGCTGATTAACTGCAGAAAGTGGAAAGTGTCAAGGGTAAAAGTATTTCAGCCCCCTACAAGCCCTTCAGAACTTAGACTTTTTTGCAGGAACTCCTGAAAATGTTTAGGATGGTATTTTCCTATCAGGATCTAGACTCGCACTCCTAGCTTAAAACCGCTCCAATAATTCAGCTATAGCTGTCTCGGACAGCTTTCCAAAGGAAGTTTATCACCACCTGAATGCAATACGAGCCTCATGTTGGAAATTAAATATTGCAACAGCCCTCCTGTGGTTTTCAATAAAGAGGGTCAATCTAAAGTGGAGAATCATTTTCCAAACTTGTGGGGAACATCTTGTTAATAAGCAGAATACAAGCATAAGACTCAGTCATAAAAGCTCAAAGTCTGAGTAGGATTTTTTCTGCAAATGCTCATGGCAAATAAACTCCCTCCCTTTTAATTATTCACCAGTCAGTCAAGTCCAGATACAGAATATCTTAGCAAGAACTTGTTCGGTGGGCACAAAAATCTTTCATGACCTTTACAAGCTCTGGTGCTGTCCTCATGTGGAATGCCTTGAGAATACAGATGTTGTTGCCAGAGTCCATTTTGCACCTTTGCTCATGTAGGGCTGGGACTGAATTTTTGCAGAATCACAAACTGCTAATTAAGCAAATATATTTATATTTGCTCCTTTTCCCAAGGACACAGTATTTCATTGATCACAAATCAAGCTCACAAATTTTTAAAGGGAGTTGGATGTGTATGGAGCATCTGTTGCATCACTGTGTGCTATAATGCAGATTCTCAGATTAAATGTGACATTTACTGCTCTGAGGCTATAAGCAGAGTTCTCTGGTCATCTCTATTTCAAACTCAGTTATGTGTCAGGAGTGTTACTTGTCCTCAGAGTAACAAAACAAAACAAAAAAAAATCCCTAAATTCTCAGGTGCCCGAAAGTATACCTTACTACCCACAAGATTTTGAATAAGCACACAGTACGGTCCAGTAGCAATTTGATGTAAAGTCTTAATATCAGAAGAAAAGTTTCAGACTATAAAAATGTCTGTTTCTAATTTACCTTGACAAAAAGTGTGCCTATATTTCCAAATCCCTACGTTGCAGAAAATATCTGCAAAACTTGATTTATTAATAAAATGAGAGGTAGGATCAATTGATCTATATATTGGACACACTCAGCATTAAGACACAAATTTCATGTTGGGCCAGAGGCAGAGAAATTTAAGATTTCAGTAGAAAGGTTTTAATTTTTCTTAAAGACAAAACCAAATCAACTGTAATGTCTTTATGCAAAACATAGGAAGATGGAACAGTGCTCATTTTAATAAACACACCCAGCTAATGAGCTTAAACCAAAGCTGATGTACTATTTTCTAGAAATATCCCATAGCAACAAGTTTGAAAAATGTTAAGATGCAAATAATTGCATATGTTTCTATACTTACCATAAGGAGTCATTCATTGATTTCAGTTTCCATTTATTCACTCCTGCCGCACACCAAATGAATCTATTCCATCAAACAGGTTAGATACAAAACAGTAAAGAAAATCTGAACCACTAGCAAACAGACATAACTGGACAAAAAAAAAAACCCAAAAACTATCTGTCCCTTGCAACAGCAGCTAAAGATCTTGTCCCTAAAGCTGAAAGACAATAGATTTTCTCCAGGAGAACCTTGCAAGAAGAGTGGAAGAAAACATCCAGGACACATCAATCATCTGGTCTTACAAAATTTCAGTCACTCTGGATTAAAGATGCGTACAAACCCAAGAACGTTGTAGCTTCAGACATACCCTCTGGACTTTGAGCACCTGTTTAACTTAGCATTCAGTTCACACAGATCATCTTGGTCAATCTTTAAGAGGTACTCCCACTTACTCTATAGTTACACATTAATATTGATTTCTTATGTATATGTGAGTATTCCAAGGTTGAACAGGTCAATCTTTTTATGGTATTACATGTGGAATATACAAGGCTCACTCTCCTATGTGTATTTTCACTCTGATGTATGTTAACAGAATCACAGAACAGCGGAAGCTGGAAGGCACCTCTGGAGATAATAGGTCCAACCCCTCCTGCTCAAGCTGGGTCAGCCAGAGCAGGTTGCACAGGTCAGCTAGAGCAGGCTGTGCCTAGCTGGGTTTTGAATATCTCCAAGGACAGGGACTTCACAACCTCTCTGGGCAACCCATTCCAGTGTTCAACCACCTGCACAATAAAAAAAGTGTTCTCTTATGTTTAAATAGAATTTCCTGTATTTTACTTTGTGCCCATTCCTTCTTGTCCTGTCACTGAGCACCACTGTGATCCTGTTTATATATCAGCCACTGCCTTTAGGGATGGAAGAGACTCCCACTCACCAGCAATGGGCAAGGGGTCATATAAAGAGGCAAATAAAGTTAGTCAGTCCTGTCATCAAACATCAGGGAGTCAAGTGGGGAGTCAAATGGACAATTTAAGTTAACGCAGAAAGCACTCTTGAGACCTTTCATTTTAAGTCAGTTTTCAACACTGGGTTCAGTGCTGCCTCTGTATTAAAAAGTTTGTCCTCCCTTCACCCACAAAGTCAGCAGCCCCTTAAGAAAAGGTGATTCCTGATCTGATAATACTGAAAAGGAATGAAAAGTGACAAGATGATCTACCAGCTTTTGTTCCAGCAATATGAATAATTAAAGACACTTCTACATGTAACAGAATCCGATGATAAACAAGTCTATGGATATTGGTGAAAAATAGCTGTTCTGTGGTGCTGAAGTACCTTTTTCAGGTGCGCGGGTCTCCAAAGCTCATTTGGGAAGGAGCTAAACAGGGATTTGAGGAGCTAGCGCAGAAGTCACAGCATCCAGGCCCTTTCCAATTCTTCCAACGAGTCACTCAGTGATGCTGGGAGATCACTTTGACTCTAAAGGACAAACAAGGATAGATTAGCAGAGAGTGCCTGCAGAAGCCCACTGAAGTCAGAAGAGCTGCAGTAAGTAATAGCAATTGAGATTTAATTTGTTCCTTTTTGCCCTCTCTGAGATTTCTTCATAGTTTTCAGAGTCTACCCTTTCTCTTCTTGTTAAACACAGGCTTTATGGGAGGAATGACAGAAAGAGTGAACAACTCATCTCAAGGCAAGTGAATGACCTGACTAAACAGTCCATGGAAGCAAAGAAAGAAGGACTTCATAAGATGAAAGGAAAGAGAACAGTCCCCTTCTTTATCACACTGCCTACACCAGGTTTCCCTTTAATTGAGGTGAAAGACCAGCCCTATAATACTAATTGTGCCGTAATTATCTGCGGTGTGCACTTAACATCTGCCTGTACCGGAATAATCAATACCATTTAATGTTTTTTACCTTTTCCCCCTTTATGTGGCAAGTTCTGTTTCTCTTCACCTTACAGCCCAGTTCCCATTATCTTTGCTGAAATCTCAGTTTGATCAGATCTGTCCAGCTTGATCAGATCTGAGATCTGATCTCAGTGTGATCTGAGGCTGTCGGCACTATGCTAATCACGTGAGAATCACAGAGTGGTTGAGGTTGGAAGGGACCTCTGGAGATCGTCTAGTCCAACCCCCCTACTCAAGCAGGGTCCTCTAGAGCATGTTGCCCTGGATTGTGTCCAGACAGCTTTTGAATATCTCCAAGGATCGAGACTCCACAACCTCTCTGGGCAACCTGGTCCAGCGCTCTGTCACCCTCCCAGTCAAGAAGTTTTTCCTCAGGTTCAGATGGAACTTCCTGTGTTTCAGGTTGTGCCCGTTACCTCTTGTCCTGTTGCTGGGCACCACGGGGAGGAGTCTGGCCCCATCCTCTTGGCACCCTCCCTTCAGATATGCATACACATTGATAAGATTGCCTCTCAGTCTTCTCTTCTCCAGGCTAAATAGGCCCAGCTCTCTCAGCCTTACCTAACAGGAGATGCTCCAGAAGGTAAAGACACAGTATTAACCCATAAAACACAGGCAAATAAAACACCACTAGGCACTAGGGCTGAACCCGAAGTGAGAGAGTCTGACTGCAGTGGAACTGATCTCTCTCTCTTTTCATACAATTATGCAACAATAAATCAATCCAATGTTTCCATTAGTTGAGTGTCCAGCAAATGAAACTGGTTATTATATTCTGGAACCTGTATACCTGATATAAGGACAGCTGCACTAAACATTAGTTGCTGGTAGACCATCTGCAAGGCATGTCACTATAAATTGATTTATGGCAAATGGGAGCTAAAATTCTCTAGAGATCAAGTAAGTTAGGCTCACAATTTGAGAAGATTTTCCTCCTTAACCATTGCAGTTACTCTGAAGATTGGCAACAAAAAATAAACACAGATGTTCCCCAGTTTTGCATAGTGCTTGGTCATGGGCAAAATATAGTACGTCCGGAATCTAGTTTTGGTAAAAGGCCATGAGAACTCTGGGTACTTATCCAAGTGTTTGAATATGATCCCAATAGACCTTCCGCTCTAAGCAAGTCTTCTCCCAACAGGATTTCATCCAGAGCAACAAACTGAAATATTGCAAGAACAAACACAAAGCAGTCGGTATATTTACCAATAATTTTTATATTTGAAATTTGTGTTTATGCTGTTAACTATGTAGGTTATCAGGATTTTTCATACTCTGGAAAGGACACTTCAGATGCCCCAAAGCTATTTCTTTTAAAAACTCAAGTCAAAGTTTGAGAGCATTTTATGTTAACTGAAATAAACAGTATCAAAATAAACTAATTTTTCTGTTGAGGCTAGGCACTAGTCTGATCCCTGCCATGCTGCAATCAAGTTTAATATAACTGACTTATGCAAGCTAACTTCGAGGTGAAAGTGGAAATGGTGGCATTCTCTGAAAAGACGTGGATAAGAAGGAAAAATTTTTCTCCTAAATAATTCTGAGTTCAAAATAAGTCTCCATTAGCTCCTCTCCACAGTAAAATAATCGGATTCATAACTTTCTGCACCTCCCTGATAAGTTCTGAACTAGAAACATATAAAATACTGACAAAATCATAATGGTTCGCCCTCATCTATATATTAATATCTATAGGCTCTCACTAAAATATGAAAAATCCTAGCAAGATTGTCCATGAAAGTCTTTACATTCACTGCCACCAGAAGCTGCAATTTCAAAATTGCTATATAGAGTTTAGCAAGAAAAACAAAATCAGGTACACTGAATTCAGAAAAGAGTAAGCTCTCTATTTCTATCTGCCTTTTTGAAATATTAAGTCATAAACTCTCAGAAATAAACTATGATTTCACAGATTATATAATTTAGGAAGCTGCATGAGAAACTGCAGGAAGCAACAATTCTATATTAAAAACAGCGCGCAAGGAAAGACAGTACGGCAGAAACAGCCAGACTTAATTGAACATATCAAAAGTGAAAAAAATTCTGGAGATAAGCTTAGTATTAAACACATGATTCTTTTGAGAAGTTGCAGGTGACAAAATATATCACAGCAGTAAATTGTGACCCTCCAAGAGGAAAGGAGCATTACTTATTACTCATTTCAATCCTTATCATTGGTTTTATTTTTGATAATATGAAGCATCTTTATGAGGGAGGCTTCCAGAGGCCTCAGCGCGCCCGTGGTGACATTAGGCTAAGCGAGAGATGTGTATAGCAAACTACAGTCCCTGGATCTGTAAGAATGCACTGCTGACCTGGCTCCAAGATAGGAGCACTCTCAAACCAATGGCCTCTTGCACACTCTGCTAACAACAGCAATTGCTTTCGCTTAAGTCAGACTTTCAGAGTTAGGAGGAATTCCTAAGCAGGATAAAGATTTATTGCATGCTGCTTATGTAAGCTGACTTTCTTCAGAAGAAACCTGCTGGAGGGTTTCTCCCATGTAGCTGAGGTGCTTCCCTCAGAACTGGTCTCTCCAGAGGCTCTGTCGCGAAAATTTAGCTTTCACACAGAGGCCCAATGGATGGCCACGGAAAATATGCTTAGTTTTAGTTTAGTACCAGGCCTGCTATTACATCCACTGACTCTCACTGTCTACTCCCGGCCCCCAAAATTCAACTACCTCAAGTATTAAACCTAGAATCTTAACGTTACAAAATTGCTTCGGAGAATTGTCACCAACTCAACAGGAGCTAATGAGGGCAGAGAGTTGTTCTAGTCACAGTTCTCCAGGAGACCATGGACTATAGTTAATTCATCACACAGAGAGCAAGGGGGAAATTAACATGTCTCAAATAAAAAACAGTTGAGAACGGGAAGATTTGGTTCTGGCTACAATTCTCTAGCTGTGTCCTGACACACCAATGCTATTATCTGTCCTCTCATTACTTATTCTTACCAAATGCTAAAACCTCCCAGTCTTTTCTTTGCTGGTAACTTATCATTACTGGCAACTGGCCACCAGGTTAAAAATATCGAGTGGCAGTACCCCATGCTGCTTTCAGCTCAAAAACCTTTCTTACAAAAAGAAAAAAAAATCTAGTGACACAGTGTAAAATTCCTTCCTTTGACCATGTGTTTGACCTGAAGTTCAGTGATACTTCAGGGTCATAGGCACAGTTAGATGGGATTGAAAATGTCACAGAAATCCATGGAAATGTTACATTAAAACATCTGAAGAAGATGAATTATTATGTTCTTTAGAATAAAGTTACTTTAACTATGAAAACATTGCGAGTTCATTGACCTCTCCCACCCGTCTGAATCCCAGTAATGCTGTCTTACTAGAATTATTAAAGAGAATTCACAATTTATCTAAAGCACTGAAGATCTCTGTAGTTCACCGCTTAGACCTTTAGGAATCTTCATTTGTAAGTGGAGGTTCCACTTTTCCCTTCCATAGACAAAACCTCTTCTACATGCACTCTTAATGTGGGGCAGTTAAGTACTGTATACAGAGCCTGATGGTAGCATAACTCTTAAGAACAGATTTATTGGAAGTCTGTTCATTAACTTGTTCACAGAATTAATTAAATGAAGAGGCTGCTGATGAGATATCACAAAGATAGCCCAAGAGATTTGAGGTCTGGTCCTTTACACATAGCTCTTGGTGAAGTATAGATCGTATCAGGAAAAGAGCATATGTTCCCATATGTTTCTCCTACGAATGAAGTTCACTTTTCTGAACAGACTGTGATTGAAATTGTCACAAAAGTACACTCCATTCCCTGGCCGTAATCAGAGCATGTGTAGAGGGGAGCAAGGAATACAAGAGTAACTTCTTTCCTGCTGGGGAAGGAATGACTGACGAAGCGCTACGCTCCCAAATAGTTGACACTAACTAACATTCACTGGAAAAAGAATGAAGAAAGAAACTTCACAACAATGTCAAGAGCAGAATGCTTAAGGAGTCAAAACAAGTTTGTGAACAGGGCTGTGTAGACCCGTTAACTTGTTTAAAGTACATTTGTAATCAGGGCTGCTCACCTCATGACAGGTCCATAGGGGCATGAAAACGGCAGAGAAGGTCCAAGGTGGAAAGTCACCTATCTTAGTTATAGGGCAGGAGTACATCTGTCACCTGGATGAGAGAGCAAGAAATTCCTGAGGCAGGCAGGCTTCTCACCTGGGTGATTAGAAAAAGGCATCACCAAGTTATTCAAAGGACTCGGTCAACCTTAGCTAGCCAATCTAGGGTTTTTTTTTTTTTCCACTCCTTCTTCAACAGAAGTTCTCCTTTGCCTCAAAATTACATTCTCTATCCCAATAAGAAAAGATGCATGATCTTATTTTCCATGAGCATTGTGAGAAATATTATTCACGTGATCATGCTTAAAAATAAACTCTTCTATGTTGTATGCTTGAAGGGGGAAAAAATTTCTTGAACACTGGTCATTTTTGCTGAGCTGCTTTTGAGAGTTTTCAACCAATACTACTGTTTAGTGAAACCACTGTGAATCACAAGAAAAGATGTAAAATACCCTTCCTCCCACCTCACCAGCCTCCTGAGTATCCCCTTTCCCAAAAAGGGAAGTGACTAGAGTTTATGCTAAGCTAGAAGTATGTGGCTACATCCTTTTAAGAGTGGTAAAAATGGGTGGGTAAAAGCCCAGTCACATAAAGCTATTTGAATTTTCACGCTAGGTCAAGCAAACTTGGGAAAGAGAAGATGGAAGTGAACCATCACCAGTATCCTGAAAAGTAAATACCTTGGGTTAGGGTGACCACTAGCTGCTACCTTGTATTTCTGAAATGGAAAATCCCCAGAGGTGATAATTGGGATAGATGCCAGGGGCCAGAAAAATCATCTCATGTTAATCCATGGCCACTACCATAATAGGGACAATAAGGGTCTTAAGCCCCATATAGGATCCATAGGTACCAGTTCACAGTACCTCTAACGTTACCCTCCCCCCCCCAGTACTGCACTGCATGCGTTATTGTGTGTACAAGCCCATATAGTCACAATCCGCAGGACCAGATCTGGACAGAGGAATGACAACCCTTCGACAACAGGCATCAGGAAAAACTCTCTTCCAAATACTGAAGGTCGTTTACTGGTACCTTTCATTTCTTGTTTATAAATTAGGATTCAGAGAATAAGGTATATTACGTTTCAGGCACAAAATGTTTCCTGATTCTGAAGGGCTTACTTATCTCTGATGTAGTCTTTCAT